TTGACCAGGACCACACCCCTAAATGCATTGAAGCAACTGCCATGTGATTGGTTGATTAGATAATTGCATTAATGAGAAATTGAACGGGTGTTCCTAATAATCCTTTAGGTGAGTGTATACTGTTACTTTATGCATGCTTTTAAACATGCTTCTTTACAAATGTTACATAAATTCATCTTCTGACAGAATAAAGAACATGGCTTCGAGCAAGCAGGCTTTAGTTTAATGTTCCTTTTATTTTAAATTTGGACAAATGTGAGCGCTCAGTCATCTCCGTTTCATTAAATTGAATGAATCACGGCGTTCCATTAAAAGCAGTCTGGGAAATATATGAGAATCTTTACTAAATTTCTATCAGTCATTTTAAAACTGAACAACTTAGACGTGTTTATTTGAATAATAGAAGGATGTTTTAAAAGATTTGCAGCATTTTGCCTTCGAGGTCAGAGTCAGCTCGACCATTTCAGGGGGTTTTGGCCTAGCTTTTACTTGGTGAGAACCCTAATAATAATAATCCTTTCAGTTCCTCCACAACCTTCTGCACGGGAATCCTGCTTGAGTTAATGCCTGCTTTTGTTTTAAACCATGGAATATTGATTAAACTTGTGTTTTCTTTGTGTTATTCCGATTTATGGAGTGGCCGCTTTTGCTGGCTTTCAGACAACTAGCTATACAGTGATTTCTCATTTTCAGGATATTCCTTCGGAAAAGTGTGACTTAATTTTTGTCATCATTTGTTATTTGGCAGTTGTCTTTGCGCAGCTTTCTTTAATTACCCAGACAGCATGTTTACTTTTTGTATAAAGTACAACATGCACTGTATTGAGATTCACTCAGACCTTACGTTATTGTTGTTGTTTATATGTATTTCTTAAATGAATTAACTCATTTATTTTAGATAACTTCTGAGGCCAAACGCAGCTAATGGTGGCTTAGGCAAGTTTTGTGTGATTATCATTTACAAATCAAATGCTGTCCTTGTGCGTATAGTCCCCCTACCTTTTTATGTCATCTTGATGACATACATAGGCTACTTTACATAGGCACAAAAAAATTAGCATTCAAGCATAATTGTGCAGCTTTAGTAACTTGCAAGCGATGAGTAATTTTCATGCTTTTTAGTATTCAAGTGGAATTCATCTGAACTTTTTTAGTAGTCTGGTACACATGTTTAGCAAGTTTTCCAGTTTTTCCGTATTCGTGTCCATTAACTTTTAAAAATTTAGTCACTTACAAAATGAGTCGAGTCAGTTTGGCAATTTACTTAATCGAAGCCATTATTCTGGCATTCAGGAATCATTTTTCTTTTCTGCTGTTGTTTTATAGTTCATATATGCTTTGAATGGGTAATTCAAAATTCAGAAGTATTGTACTGGGTAAGTTGTTAGAAGTTGGAGAATTCATACGTTGAAAATGGTATAGAATTGCTATTGCTTAGATTTTAAAATGAGCAAAATATTAAGTGTTTAGCACCTGTTTTAAGTAGGCTACAGGTTTCGGTGTCGGCATCGATCCATTCGATCCATTCCGAATCAGACAGATCGGGTATCGGAAAAATGTGACCGATACTTATTGATTTAGTTTTGGCAGTCTCTAAAAAGATAGCTCCTATTTCGGGTTATGTATAATCAATCGCACTACAGCTCTTTCCCATTTTAGATGTGTGTTTCGGGGCATGCAGGTTGGACACTAACACTGTTACTCAGTTTGCCACTCAGTGGGTGTGAGCGCAGTGACTTCTGCCTGTTATGACGTCATGTGCATACCCTTCGCAGCAGGAGGAGCGTAAGAAATTGAGTTAGGAGGGTGACGATCTGGGTATTGTATGCTTGAAACAACTAGTAGCACAGCAGTCTTTGTAAAAACAACATTTTCATAGGTGGAAGTAGCGTTTAGTGGAAAATCATACTGAACAAAGCGCACGCGATTGTGCGAGACAACGCGAGTAATATGAAAAAAGCAATGGATGGTTTGGGGGTCGCTGGCTCGGTTGTTTTGCACACTCTGTACAGCTTGTGACGCGATCGCAGCAAAGTGTAAGCGACGCTGTTGCCAGTGGGAGACAAATAATGGGCATTTTAAGCATTCGTCACTGCGTTAGGCCTGTAGCTGCCCATTTTATTCACTTTTGATCCATTTGCTCACCTTTTGACGTTTTTGTTTTACTTATTTGATCTCATTCACAAATGTCAACGTCACAAATGACGCATCACATGCATCTCATACCTAGTTTGTCTTGGCTTAGAATGTACATTGACTGATTAATCTGAAATATTTAGTATGAATCCTTTTTAGGTTTTGTGAGGAAGGTCTATTTAACCTTGATGGTCCAGCTTTTAGCCACCACAGGAATCATATGTGCTTTCCTGTACTGGTAAGTCATATTACAAATATTGTTCTTTAATATTATACTGTTACATTATGAAAATCTGAATATATTAAGAAATATATTAATTCAGATTACATTAAATGCTCTTTATAGCTTTTGCAGTACATAATATGGTGATAAATTTTGCTAAAGGAGTGATATAGGGTATCTGTTAGCTTGTGCACACTGTGGATGTTGCCATTCCATCACCGAGTTTCTTATCTGGTGTAAAGAACGGGATTTGCTCTTTCATTATAGGAAGGAACTTAATGAATGGACACGATCGAACTACTGGTTCACATATGTCATGATGTAAGTACTGACAGTCTGGCTGTTAAATGCTTGGGGACAGGACAACCCTCATCAGGAGTTTAAATGTCCTCTGTGGCAGCTCTCACAGGAAGAGATGTTTCACGTATTGTGATTTTTCTTCTCGACAGGGCAGCGACAATTATTTGCGTCATAATCCTGTCGTGCTGCAGAAACGTGAGGCGAAAAGTCCCGCAGAATTTCATCTTCCTGGGTTTGTTTGTACGTACCCGGCAGCCGGGGTGGTGTGGATCTCTTTGCCTTGTGAAGCGTGGCTTTGTGTGTCCTTCTCAATGCTTGTTTTCCTGTGTATAGACCGTCACAGAAGGATTAATGCTGGGCTCAGTGACAGTGTAAGTGAACCTTACGCTACCTCACCAGAGAGCCACATTATGATGGCTATTAACATTGATTAAACTGGGAAACAGCAGCAGTCAGCTGACAGATCGGCTCCTCTCTTTATACAGATACTTCACCGCGGACGCCGTCATGTGGGCAGTAGGAGCTACGGCGCTCGTCTCCTTCGCACTGAGCGTGTTTGCGATGCAGTCAAAAGTGAGTCGTGCGTGAAATTCCAACTACGTCAAACTGAACCGTCAATGTGTCCCCCTTGCCCCAGGTGACCAGTGTTAAGTGATGTTTAGGCGTGGTGCCATGGCAATGAGCGGTTAACCAGTTGGCCACACACTAAACCAGTCGTGGGCTTTGAAGCCGGACTGTCACCAGAAATAACTTAAAATCATACGGTGCTTGTGGCATCATGTTAAGTAAAATATTTTTCTTGAACGAGACTGAACACTCATTCCAGCGACTGTGAAGAGAAAGGATGTGTTGGGTACTTCGTAACAGCTTAATGAAGTCAAATTCATATGTTGGTTAGAACAAAAAGCGTCACACGGTGACTAAGAAGGAGAGGTGCCAATAAAAATGAACCTTTATCATCTTAGTGGGACTTCACCGCATCGATCGGGATTCTGTGGGCTGTTGGCTGGTCTTTGGTAGCATTTGGAATCCTGTGTGCTATTTTGAGGTCACAAGTAAGTACAATAAATTCAAGTCAAAATTATTTAAAAAAAAAAAAAAAAAACTAATCATTTGCCTAATTCCAGGAATCACATTTTATTTATTTATTTTAACAGTACCTGAACATTGTGTACGCCTGTCTGGGAACAGTGGTTTTTTCTGTGGTGAGTACATTCAAAGTTGACAGCTGTATTTATATTAGTGGTCCTTAAAAATGAAAATTTGCTAGTTCTCCCCTCGTGATTTTATCATCTTGTATAAGAGAACATTTTGAGATTTTTTTTTTTGTTTTTTTCCAAGCATGTTTAGAGGTTGCTCAAGAAACTTCAATGGCTAAAGTCTAGTTTAGTCGTCTGCTGTCGGTAATACAGCACAGTGTTCCTGTCACTCCACACCAACACCTCTTCCAGCAGAAACCCAGCTTTCCTAGTTGGTCTCTCATCCAAGTACTGGAGGCCCAAACCTGCTTAGCAGCAGGTTCAGTCCCAGAGAGGGAGCAATACAGGATGGGGCACTAGCCTATCACAGGGGACAACACACACACACAGTTAGGTAACTCCAATGAACCTCAGCCCAGCCCATTGTGGGGAACACTCGTACACCTCTCACTCACACTCAAGTTAATGTCACCATGGCGGAGACTTGAACCCAGGTCCCAGAGGTTTAAGGCAACAGTGCTAACCACTGCACCACCATGCTGTTCATTTAAATTCAAAACAGGCCTTGAAAAATACTGTTATTTAAAAAAACAAATGGCAACCATACAATAAAATAATTCCTTTTCTTGTCACAAATTTCACATACTTTCAGATTTTTACGTGGTGTTTCATTTGGTCAAATTTTATGGTTGATTTTTTTGTCATTGACCAAATATTAAGAAATACGATAAACATGCTAAACTACACAAAATAAGATGTTGAGCACATTTTCGCTAACAATCGAATGAATGACCTGAGAGACTGAGTATTACAGACTGTGGATGACTAAGCTATAGGCTTTAGCCAGCTTAAATATTCGACAAGTCGTTTTGCAGGTAAACAAATATTCATTGTTGCCGCTGCCATTGCTTTTAGCGAAGTTTGGCTGAAATTTTGATAATTTACAGTTACGGATTTTGGTCTTGTTGAGCAACCTAAAACTATGAGGAAATATTACCAGGAATACTTTCTTACAATGCATCATGAAAAAAAGTTGAGTGTGTGAAAAACTGCCATTTTACAACTTGAAATGCTGAAATAGCTAAGGACCACCCTAATTTATATGCATAAGCACACTATATAAATGTACTACCATTACAATAGGCCCTAAGCGATTAGCCTGGTTAGTCTCTGACCCCTGACCCCCCCCCCCCCACTTTCCCCACAGTACCTGGTGGTGGACACCCAGCTCATGTTAGGTGGGAAACACCGATACAGCGTCAGTCCTGAGGAGTACATCTTCGCTGCCCTCAACCTGTACCTCGACGTCATTACGATTTTCTTGTTCCTCCTGCAGCTAATTGGCCTGGCTCGTTAAGAAGCCCCGCAGCCATAGCTTCCTCTAAATTCCCAAAAAAAAAAACTTGATATATATTTGCTGCTTGGACCCAAATTGTGCAAAAACATTTTTAATTTGTCTTTGCATTATATTATCCATACAGGTTTCTACATCTAATGCAATTACAAGGATTTCAGCAATAACACTTTTAATATTATTGTGTTCAGAGTTTTAAAAGGTTTTAACTATGATTTGGTTTTAATTTCAATTTTTCCCTTAATAAAATTAGCTTTTATCACATTGAGAAATGAGAATGTGTTTACACATGCAAGAATTGCAGATTCACATTATATCCCAGGTGCCGGAGTGGGTGAGTTAGCATATTGCGTGGCAGCCAGTGAAGAACAGGGCATGGGCAGCGCTAGGCTTTCGTCCTGGTATTGAGTACTGTGGAGGGGCGCGCTGGGAATCTACAAAGTTGAAATCATGAAAAGTACGACTCACACTGCAAGGTTGGGTAGTTCAGACAATTTCTCATCTTACTGGTTACACCAGCTGGAACACAACATGCGAGCACGGTTACATAAAACAGACATGCTTCAATTCCTCAAACAATATTACAGAAGTCCCACCAAACGATCCCTGACACAGCACAATTCTCAGCGTTTTTTTTTGTGAATTATTTATTTTTTCCATTTTTTCAGTAAGTCAAATGCAGTAAATTTTAAAATTTTATTCAAATGGGGAAAAAAGTTTTATAATTGGCTTGATCTGAAGTGACATTTTTGGCCCCGCTCACGGCAGTAAAAATGAACATAGTTGGGATCTCTGTCCCCCACAAGAGGTTTCATGTAACGTGACATCATTGTGATCAGGATTTGAATACCCTAGAAACCCGTCAAGTACACAGTAACCAACCAGCAGAAAAACCTCCTGTGCATCAAACCACTATAAATAACATTATATTTTGAACTGAAATCAAAAGTTACGTTAATCTTTGACACAATGAATTGGATGCAATAAACATATACTAAATGAAAGGTAAACACAGAACATTGTGGAAAACATTATGGGGAAAAAAATCTAAAAAAAACAACTTATAAAACATGCATTAAAAATCTAAAAACAAAATCTTTTGGACACTTAGTTCCATAAACGAACTAAATTTACTGCAACATCAGGTGTTACTTTAATTCAAAGTATTTAAGAAAAATGAATTAAGGTTAAATAAAGGCACACTAAAGAATTGTATAGAAAAAAAAACATTGAGAACCATTTCCTTAGCAATCCTAAAGCCATAAATGTATAATTATCCATTACCAATGGCAATACATCACAATTACACTGATTAAGAAATAACATTTCTCTGATTGCACTTAATGGTCATGTGCACACACCCCCACAACACAAGTTAAATACACAACAGGCAAATCAAGGTCGTGCTGTGTGACCCACCCTTACAAAATAATTATAATACCATATCAAGAATGAATGAGCGCACAGTGCCGGTAATTTTGCTCCAGTTTTCAAGTCTTTTAGAACCCTCTCAACTTGCATTTGTGGGCAATTTGGTAAAATTATGTAAACTTCTTAACTGCATTGCTTGCATAAATATTCTCTTAAAAATTTGCATCTGTTGGGAAATAATTTGGATTATTAGGAATGGCCAAGTCAGTCAGAAATGGACCAGAATTCACTGCAGCAGAATGTGAGACCAGCAAGGAGCTGTACAAATCAGACTTTCAGAATCAAGTCTTCCTGTAGCAACATATATAAAGGCAGGAATCAGAAAAGCTACTCAGCAATCCAGATACTTTTCTCCAGTGCACCATCTGTCTTTATCTCTGCCAGATTTCCAAAAATAAAACCCGAAATGGCTCATAATTTTAACAGTTGTCAGTAGTGTTAGGAAATAAATTAAAAAGCTACTTTTACAGCAGTAGTTTGTCCTCAGCTTTCAATATTCCCCAGCTCATGAACATGGCCTGGCTACAGTAGACATAAAAACCCTGTGATAAGACCCAAAAGTCAGACAGCTAGCCACACCTTTCATCTGAATACTCTTCATGTTTTTGAATCATTTCAATGGTACATGGGACTGACACAAATCTCGGAAAAGAAAACTGCAGAATTATTTTTGGCATAATAGATGATGCTATAATCACATATATTCTTTGAGGAATATCTGTGGGACAGACACACAGGCCTGCCTGATTGCCAGCAGTAACCGTAGGTTGGGTCTGAATCTCAGCAGCTGTCCCTGAATGCTGCTTTAAACACCTTCCAGGTAAATATGCTCTTCAATGCCTCTTAGGCACCACATTGTTTGGATTCTGCACCGGGCAGCTGTCCATTTCCCAGGCTGCAGGTGTTGCCATGCCAACCCCCGGGTGGATAGACACACCCTCTTCCCACCCCCAGCAAGGCACTGCTCAATTCAGAGCAATAATTTCAATACTGACAAGCCCCCCCCCCGACACCCCACACAAAATCTTTACGACTATCTCCCAAATAGTCAGTTTGGATGTTAAATGCTCCGATTATCTGTATTTTCTATAACTGCAGTCTCCGGGTGCATAAAAATTGCATACAGTACTCTGACCTGATCTTATTGTACAGTAATATTCCTTTTATTTATAAAATTACTAGGATTGCGACAGACACTGTGCCATCGTAAAGAAATTTTTTTTTTGCTTAGACTTTGCTATTCAACCTGGATATAGTAAAACAAATGGTTTTTAGACCAAGTGCACTTGCTCCTCCAAGCCAAATTTGGCGCTGTTCGGTTGGAGGCTGGAACCTGAGTCACACCCAGAGGCATCGGTGTGACCAGAATCAGTGCTACTGCGGACGCTCCTATCTTCTGGTGGCACGAGCAACATGGCGTTAGCATCCATACCCACCGATTCAAGCAGTGTGGGCCTTGCTGACCCCTGCTCGTCCTCTGGGGGCAGTGTTGGCACACGCTGAGGCTCAGCTACATCACCTACCTTCGGGGAGTGGGTGAGGCCCAGCTCGTCACTTTGGCGGTCGGCACCATTTCCCAGCGGGTTGGTGATGACGTCAGCATTTACACTGGTAGGTTTGCTTCCAGTGGAGGTGGACAAGGCACTGGTCCTCCAAGAAGGGTTTTGATCACTTGCACACTCTGGGTTAGCATAGCGGCTAGTGACGCTGGCCGGCCTCGTCGCTCCTTTGCCCCATTCCTGAAGTCCAGAGCTGCTGATGACAGCACACGGCGTCTCCACACCATGGGCCACAGGGTCAAGCCTAGAGGCTAAGGAGGGGTCGATCGCTGCCAGAGAGGCCTGGCCACTGATGGACTCCTGGGACTCGCCAGACAAGGGGAGCCCAGACTCCTGCAGTGAAAGCTGGATAGCCAGCAGCATGTTGGGGTCATCCTCATCCAGGGAGCTTAGGGCCTGGAGGGAAAAGGGCGACGTTGCCGTCTCTTAGCGCGTCTGCGGCCGGAAGGAGCGGAGTGGCACCAAGCCTTCGCGGGGTAGCTAGACTCACCCCCCGGGTGCCATGGCGACGGCTTGCACTCCTGGGATCTGTGTGGGATGAGACAGACCGGACCCTCCGGGTCCCGGGACAGAATGAGCTCATGTGAGAAACAGGGTCCAAAAGGAGGAGCTCAAGATTCCAAACCAAACCATCATTTTGTTTAGTCAGATAACATATTAGCAGGTAACTAACTTAACTGCTTTTCTGGGTTCAATGAGGCATCATGATCTGACATATTACCGCCTCAAACCTCATGCACATAAACCAGCACTACGAATTAGGCCTTCAGATCCTGTCATACCCGACGGGCTGTCCATCAGCTCAGCGGGGCTGGGGGCTTCGCCACGTAGGCCGGCCGCGTCAGCATGCCTACGGAATCTGGATCTCCGCCGCTGCTGCATCTCGGCAAACCCCTGTGGACAGCACAGAGCCCGCGGCCGTTCATGAGTCACAGAGCCTGGGAGTTCATGAGGGTTAACAAGGTGATACTGCAAGAGAACCACAAGGGGGCCCCCAAGAGCCACTCCTGCTGTTAGCACCACAGCTCAGAAAAGGCAAGAAGAAAAAAAAAAAAAAAAAAAAAAAGAGAACATTTAAATCACATCAATATACCACCAACAGGGGGCCTATGAAAATGTGCCGTTCTTTACTGGGAGGGAAATTCTGAAAGGTCATTTGCCCATAAAATTAAACACAGGGCCACATTCGCTGGCGTTTGCCTCCTGCTGGGAGAGGACATTGATTGCTACACAGTGGTTTGTTTTGCACATAGATCGGTTCTAAAAATACCCAAATTGTGATGTTGTGGGAAAGGAATCAAAAGACATGGAGGGACCGGGACATTTTATCAAAAATGCTTAATGAGCAGAACTTAAATAGCAGAGCATGTTACAAGCTGGATTTAAGAGGGCTCGGGTATCATTTTTACCTTCCCTATTGAAAAATACAACCATCCTCCGTCGTCCAAGTCAAATTTATTTACAAAGCACATTTAAAGACAACATTTGTTGACCAAAGTGCTGGGGCCTGTATCAGGAAACTGGATTTCTTGCGTAGCTGGGTAATTTGTTGGACTTAATGTCTGGATGTAATGTAAGTGAACAAAGATAAAGTCCATTTAAACTGGAGTACCTTAAACTCAACATGTTAACCGGCTAAGCAGAACATCCTGCTTTGTGCCACCGTACAGGATCACCAAAAAGAAAAAATATAATAAATAAATAAAACATTGGAAAAGGCATATAAGAGAAGAGAAAATCATCACAAACACAGAAAACAAAAAGTACTGACAGACACGTCAAACTGCTAATAGGATTTAAAAGCCAGGGAGCAGAAATGTCTTAAGACGGGATGGATCTCACGGCCACGACGACTCCACAGTTTGAGGGCTGCGACCAAGTTTGTTTTCGCGTGGCGCGAGGGATCAGCAGAAAACCCATTTCTGATGACCTGAGGGGCCTGGAGGTTGTGTAGGGGACATATGAGGTCTGCGATGTATGAGGGGTTTAAGCCATTCAAAGGTATGCAGACAAACAGGGGGATTTTAAAGTCAGTCCTAAGGTGGACTGGAAGCCAGTGATGAGAGGCCAGGATAAAGGTTACGTGATCCTCTTTTTGGAGACTGTGAGAAGCCTCACTGCAGCGTTCTGGGCAAGTGGAAGGCGGCCAGGGATGACCAGTCGATTCTGGTGTACAGGGAGCTGCAAAAATCAAGCCTTGAGGAGATACAGGCATGGATGACTATTTCCAAGTCACTTGAAGAAAGAATTGGTTTAATTTTTTTAATGGATGTGAGCTGGAAGAAACTAGATTTGACAACTGCATTGATCAATAGCCTATTGAGAGCAGAATCAAGAATTACTCCAGGATTTTTAGCAAATGGCTTTATGAAGGGAGATAACTGACCTAGGTTAATGGAGATCTATGTAATGGGAAGCAGGTGGGCAAAAAACAACAAGTTCTGATTTGGTTTCTTTGAGGTAGAGAAAAGTTTGGGCCATCCAGCATTTAATATCCTCAAGGCAACTGACTAGGCTTTGTAGCTATGGCTGAAAATTTGATTTGAGGGAAGTGCATGTCATCTGCATAGCAGTGGGACCAGAGTATTATATCAAGTAGAAGCATGTAAAAAGGAGAAACGAATAGGGCCTAGAATAGACCCCTGTGGGACCCCGCACGTGAAACGAGCTAAGGGTGAGAAGTTGTAAAATTTTACAAAAAAGGAACTATTGTTAAGTTAGGAGATTAACCGATTTAGAGCAGCATCCCTTATACCAACCTCATCCTTCAGACAATTTATGAGGATGGCATAGTCTGCTGTACTTAAAGCAGTGATGAGACTGAGGAGGATTCGTAATCTACTTCCTCCCAGAATCACCTCCAAAAAAAAACCCACAATTTCTTTTCACAGAAAAAGGATATTTAATCTAGAAAGGTCACAAAAGTAATTGAGTAAACCAACAATAACAACATCATCAACATCATTAGCATGGGAAACACTGAACCCTTGCGGGCCCCCAGGGCGGCAGGCCGAATCCAGCTCCCAGCCCCAGATAAGTGAAATTTACTCACTACCTGCCGCTGGCTGCGTGCATTCGGACCTCTGCCTCTTTGGACACTCACTCCGAGGTCTGACTGACTCCTCGGGGTCTTTAAATCAGGGCACAAATTAAAGGAGAGAATCAAAGAAACAAAGCTGGAATGTGATGAAGGGGGCAGAACAGTAACCTGAGACTGATCTGTCTGCGGGCCGATGCCTCACCTGGGGTGACACCAATCCCAGAGACTCCCAGTCCCACTCGGCACCGGTGAAGCTGGGGGTGGGAAGATACCATACTGGTTACCATTACTGTTCAGAGCAGCCAGACCCTGAAACGGGAAGAGGACTCTGCTCCTGTATGCCGAGCAGATATCACATGGGATCATACAGGGCTCGAACTCGCAGGTGACACACAGAGTAGCGGAACACCGACCTGCGTCGCGAGGTTACAGGGGAGTCGCTGGGGGCCACGCCACGCGCCACAGAGGCCAGGAACTCCTGCCTCTTCTGCTGCACCAGGCAGGCGGCACGAATGATCCTGTGGCGTGGGGTGCGCAGGTAGGGCCTGTTCACCTTCTGGGCGAGGTCCTCGGTTACGATCTCGAGGTCGGTCTGGAGTGTAACAGGCACACAGACAGAAGGTACTTATATCTGGGGGTATGAGGCTTTGTAATCTTGCAGGAAAGCATGGTGGTATACCCTAGAAGGATGCTGGCTGAATTCATGCTGGGATAGGCTCTGGGGATACTCAAGTCCACCAAAATCACGGACAACAGGAATTAAAGTAAACCTACATGGGAAGAGCGTGCAAGCTCCACATTATATGTAGCTGAGGTGGGAATCGAGCTATGAGTCCCAGCATGACCCCTGCACACTGTAACAATGCTAAACTTCAGGTAGCTAAACAGCATCTGGTTAACCTTTTTAACAACCATGACAAGGGAGTCACTTTAGGTATATTAATACCTGCATCAGCTCAAAGATTTCCTTCTTTGTGCTTTTTGGCTCTAGGAAGAAGCCATAGGGGTAAGAGCACTTCAGGACCCGTCGCGCCTTCAGCAGCTCGCGCACGGCAAGCTCGATGAACGTGGTGTCCGGAGTGTCGCCCTCTGCTGGACAGAGAACAGAATGCGATACGTAAGCATGGGGAACACAGACATTTCCCTGACCTCCCCTGCTACTGTATAAATACTTTACATCTAACAGGGTCTAGAAGCAGGCTCTGCTGGTTCCTAACCATCAGGCACCGCAAATTGGTATGTCTCTCCTAACCTCCGGCGTAGGCACGGCTCAGCTGCTCCATCTTCTCCTTGGCGCTCTTCAGCAGGCGGCGCTCCAGCTGCATGGAAAGCGGGAGATGCAAAGCTCGTTAGACGGCAGGCATGCAAGCCGGCACCGGCAGCCAGGGGGCGCTGGCTCACCTCGTAACTGTGCTCGTGATTCTTGTAGCGCGTGTAGTAGTGCATGAAGCGGTCCAGCTCCTGATAGCTCTTGTGCTTCCTCTCCACCTGTAGGGACAGACAGCCTGAGCTTTCCGACATTTGTCTCGTTCTACTTATAAAACAACAAACAAACATAGGACAGCAAGGAGCAGAGCTAAAATACAAACAAATGAGACAAAAAGCAGGAAAATCAATGCCTGAGTGGGCTGATGAAGGTCCCTGATCAAGCTACAGCACCGGGACACTAGCTAGCTGTGGAAGCACCAGGGGTTGTAGGTCAACTACCCGGGGGGGGGGGGGTCCTGACTGTTTACGCTTCAGTTATTCCTTTTTCAATTTTCAGTGTACACACATTCAAGTAACATGCAAGTTGTCCAATTTCTCATCAAACGAAAGCATCTCCCAAACAATGATTGGATTGGATGTGTTCCTTTGTGTGTCCAACAATGGGCTATTATTTAGTCAGCAATGTGTTGGTTTATATTTAAAGGAAGTCGCCCTGTTTTGTGAAGCCTGTGATGTCTCCGAGGCTGGCTGGATCACCACGCCCAGGCAGCACTCAGGAGAACCATCAGTCACACACATTCTGTGGGCACATTTCCAGGAGTCTATATCACTTGCACGTTGTTCTTTCCGGTAACCATGGCAGCAGTGGCGGGCCCCCTGACCTCAGCTGTGAGCTCCTTGGACTGCTCCTCTAGCTGCTGGATGACCTCGTAGCGCGTGCAGCGGTAGTATCCTCCCGTCGATGAGCTGTGCTTTTTCCATTCCTCCAGACAGATCCAGCAGAAGTCATACTTGCACTAGGAGAGATACAAAGCACCGCGTCTGATGTTAGGGACTCGCTACGAATCGATCCCCGTCGGAGTGGAATAGCGAGACGAGGTCTGTATGTCAAACGGGGGACCGGGAAAGGCCACCGCCCGCCGGCCCCCAATGCGAGGTCAGGCCCACCCTGTACTGCACTGCTCCACAGCTCTGGTCCAGGAAGGCTATGGTACGGCAGCCAGCAAGTTATGGACCACTATCCATCTACCAATAGCGCCCTGGAGAACTGCAGTTCTGAGCTGGCTAAAGATGGACCTGCATCCACAAGGGTACGACAGTCCAAAAGCACTCTCTCTTGCACCCCATGACCCTGTCTAGGAAAAGCGGGTGGGTGGGTGGGTGGATGGATGGATGGACGGACTATTTAGTGCATCAAATGAATTAGTTTAGTGTTCTTCCTCAGTTCTTAAGAGTGGATGGCCCTTTGAAGTTTTAAAGTGATGCATATATAAAGTTATGCTTCTTTGATGGCTGCGGATGTTCACAAGTACCCTCGTGTTAGAAACACCACTCATTCCCCCCCCCCAAGAGCGAGAGATGATTCTTCAGGCAGCAGAAATGACTTTTAAAAGGACATTTTAATTTTCAACAGGTTGCATTTGCACTCCAAAGTGATCTGGGCATAATGAGTCCTGTGGTCGTCTCACTGATGCATGACTAGGTCTTCATTAACGAAATGAAGCCCATCTATCAGGCCCTTGTTTCAGGGAAATTGAAACATCTGCATCACCTGATGTTACATTAGGGTCAATAAAAGCATCAATCAAAAAGGAAACGTGCATTTCCATATCACATTAATATTACATCCACAACAAGATGCAGATTGCACAAGTCTGCAATAAACATTTTAACAGCAATGAAATTCCAGGAATCTCCTGAACAAACAATATAGTGATGTGCACTTTGGCATGTGACAAGGTAATAACCCAGCCAAGAGCGGGAAGGATGCTCGGTGTGAACCGAATTATCTGATGATTGAGTATCTTACTGTCATGGTGACGATCGCGGCCACGGATCATGATCCCAATCCTCACGCCTCCCGCATTTGCTATCCGGCCAACTGCCCTAACATCCACCAAGGACTTATACCAGAAACATGATTCCTGCCAGGGCTAAGGATTCCAGTGGATCCGGCTGTACCAGGAAGTGCCCTCCCATGGCAGGAGTGGGGTGGAGCAGCTCCTCCATACCTTGGCGCACTGCATGTGGTTGCAGCCCTCATTCTTCTGGATGGGTGACTTGCAGTTGGGGCAGGGCTTGGAGTTGGTAAGTAGCCACAGGCAGTTGGCGGCGTCCTCACAGGCCTCAGTCACGCCAGCCACTTCAACAAGGGAGAGAGAGTCAGAAGCACTGGCCTCGGGAACCCAGGAACAGGTTACCGAGGGGGGGCGCTCTCACAGGACACGTTTAAGCACCTGACACAGCAGAGGCTGCAGGGGACGCTATTCAAGTGGAAGATACATCAGGGCACGCAGCATATTTACAGACACACGAGCTGCATCTTACAACCAGATAGGGTACAGAACATTCATGCTAGAACTGCAGCACACCCTTTTATGGCAGAGTTTCCCAATCCGCTCCTCGGGGACCTGCAGACAGTCCATGTTTTTGCTGCCGGTAGGAAGCAAAAATGTGGGCTGTCGGGCAGGGAGCAATGACCGGGACTGGGAAACACTGTTTTAAGGAATTTCCCTCCCGAAGTGAGCAAGCAAGTCAGTGCATCGTCATATGCATGAGGACGCAAGCAGTGGATTGTCCATGGGTGTGTATATCACAGCATGATTCATATTTGCTTCAGAAGGGAAAAAAAAAAAAAAAAACATCTCAGTATCGGGTCGGAGAAAAACACCCAGAAAACAGAGACATACACACAGGCAGGCAGGCAAGCGCACACACACACACACACACTCTATAAACCAGGTACATACAGTCAGGAAGATACTTACACTCCTCTGGCTTCATCTCAGTCACTTTCTGGAGCCACTTGGTCCAGGTCTGGCAGTCGCAGGGCTCGTGGGCCTCTCCGAAACACTCCCTGCAGAGAGGAACACACAGTGTACTGCTGATACACACACACACACACACACAACTTTTGCTGGTAAACCCCAAACCAGTGACACCCTGAGAACGATCCCATCACCAGAGAGGAGGAGGAGGTCTGAATGCTCTCCATAAAGAAACAAACAAGCAAATTCCTATCAGCATGTAGTGCAGAAGGGGGGGGGGGGTCAACACAAGTGAACTAAAACAGACATGGTGACGTCTATATAGAGACTGCCTCTGGGGTCACTATGCAGCACACAGACCCCCCTCCCCGGCCTGCTACGGGGGGGGGGGGGCGGACATGCTTGAGCACGGCTCAGGAGCGGCGTGCTGACCAGCAGAACAGGTGGCCTCGTCCACAATCGACGGCGGGGGCCTGCTGCGGGGGCGGGGGCTCGGAGGAGGCGGAGTCGGGGCCGCGGTGGGACAGCCGCACCGCCCGCTCACAGCCCGCCCGGGGACACCAGCGGATCAGCGGGTTGTTCTCCACAAACGCCTGGGGAAAAGGGGGGGTGCAAAATGAGTTAAACCAAGACACCCACACAGGAGGAACTAAACATACTGCTGTCGTTTACTTTATTAAATGAGTGAGAAGAAACTATTTTACATTGAGGCCAACAGCAGAGGAGCTGTTGTAACAAACCCCCAGGCAGGGCTAACATTGCTGGGGAGATTATCCAGCTCAACACCCCCTCCCCCCCCACTCACAAAACACAGTCAGTACATTTACATGCACACTAAGAAAATTGAATTATTGTGTCAGTCTGACTAAAATCAGACTTTTGAAGAAGTACATGCAAACATGTTAGTCCGACTGAAATTGTACTGAATCGAATTTCTCGAAGTCGGACTCAGACTCGCAGATAACGGGAGTCTTTACTCCTGCATGTATTCATTCAATCGGTCTGAACCTGGCGTAGGTAACCGCGCATATGCACCACAGTACTTCAAGAAGGTACCAAAAATACAGTACTTCAAGGTGTTGGTTTTCCACTGGTGTAAAAACTGGTACTGGCACCAAATGACATCGAGGTGGGGTACTTTGTACTGAATTCTAAAGATGGCTGTATTAGGATTAGATGACATGCAATATTAATACCAACATTGCATCTTAGCAAGTAATCCTTTTCAGGGTTATCTAGTTCATGTTTACAAATCTGTTCCATTTCTTACATCGCTAGTCAGCTAGATTAAGATCAGGCTTTTTCTTACCTTCAATTTGGTTTGGACATTATAGTGAAGGGAGTTTAAGCCTCACTAAAACATTTTTACTCTGTCATAGGAAAAATAGACTTAGCAAGTTTTTCAATTTTAATGATTAGTCCTTTTCAAGATTATCTAATATATGTATAAAAATCTGTTTAAAGTTTACTTCCGTTACTTTTGCATGAGCGCCGCGTGTGTTTTTCCATTTTCATCCTTGCCGTTTCAGTCACTCCTAGATTAGTTCATGGGAAATTTATGTTGAACTTACCCCAATAGTTATGAGAACAAAAATCACATTGCAATATTTGAAAAAATTCCAATACCGTATAGTATATTAGTATTACTAATAATAAAAATTTTATTTCTTGTTATGCTATCCTGATCTTATATCTGTTCTTCCCACCAGATCGCAATTAAAGCTTGTGTCACTTCCTTTATCCACACATCCATCATTATAAATTTTTATAATTTTTTTATGTCTGATGTAATAGGTCAACCAGAAAAAGCCCAATACTAATAAGCCATATCGCCAGCTATTGTAGTTGAGTCAGACATACTTTGGTCAATAAATCGATTCCCCTCCCATGCATGTATACTGGGACAAGGACAGTTGCCCGATTAAATGGCAGAGTTGAGCTATAATCATAGCTTGACTTAGCTGTGCATGTAAATGTACTGAGTGTTGATAGAAATATTGTTAATGCAAACACTGAATCATCAGATCTCCTGACAAAGAGCTGCTGTGTCATTTTCACCGGCCTCCCCAACAAACATCTACCTTTATATCAAACTGGAGGTAACGCCTGTCCATCTCCCTGGAGACCACGCTCTCGATGATCTCCACGGGAACCAACTGGAAGCAGTCGTGTGCTGGGCAGCGGATGCCGTGAGCGACACCTTCTTGGATCTTCAGGTTCAAAAACCTGAAGGACAAATACAAAAAACTCGATGACTGGGCACTGGGCGAGTGTGCTGTGAGCTCAGGCACAAACTGCTACAGAGAGGCGTCGGTCACAAAGCACACGACCACAAAGAAGAAAAAAAAATGAAAATCAATCAACATGGACACATTACCCTTCCCAGCATGCTCTGCAGAACTCGTGTCCACACGGCATGTCCACGGGTTCCTCAAACTCTGAAATGGTGCACATGCAAATGCCGCACTGCAAGGGGGAAATGGGAGATTCAGGAACAGAAGCAGACACGCATGTCACAGAGCTTTCAGAAGCCATCAAAGCCTCGGCAGAAGCAAACAAATGCGGTCACTGAGATTTATGGAAGCATTTCATTCCCTGGAGGACAAATGACGTAACCAAGCAAACAGAGTATTGAAAGAGTGAGAGGCAAATGTGGCATAGCGCCCTCCAGTGGCTGAAAGAGGTAGGCATGGATGTGAAATCATAAAAGTGTAGTGCGCTACTATACACAAACTTTTAAAAACACCTAAAATACGCTGTACAGCCACTTCATTTCCCCATCATTAAAGTACAAGAGCATACAGCAGAAGGTGCATAAGCTGAACTCAGGAGCGAGGCATGGCCCCACCTAATTCCAGGCACAGTAATTAACGAGCGTGCCAATTAACTGCAGAAAGAAGCCTTCAGCAATATGGCAGACCTATAATGATGTATGAAGGTAAAGCACAGTCAGGCTACTGATAGCTCATTTCCACCAGAGATGTGCCAGAACCGGTGCCGGGCTTATTCCCAATCTGGAACTGGTTACGTGCATTTCCACCACAAAAAACTGGCCCTGAGCAAAAAAAAAAAAAAACAACATAGCACCACAGAAAAGCTGAATTTCCTACCATAACGNAAAAAAAAAAAAAAAAAACTGGTCCAGCATGGCACCACAGAAAAGCTGAATTTCCTACCATAACGACAGTGAAAGTGGGAAGGGCTCCCTCATCCAAACTATCCGGTTTTTTTTTTTTGGTTCAAAAGCTTATAAAAACTTAAAAATTCAAAACAGATCAAAATAAATCCATAAAAAGTGTCAAAATGAACCTTTACTTTACTCTCACTTCTGCCTATGTAACGTTTCTCTTTTTGAAACCGGTGGAATTACAGGAAGGTTCTCAAAAAGCACCAAGTTGAAAGCAGCCCAGAACTGGCACCAGCACTGTTGGTGGAAACAGGTTCAGCACGCAAAGAACACTGAGGAGAACATCAGGGAACATCACAGAAGGGCCTCCTCTATACTGCCAACATGACAGAAAGGGAGTCATTAAGGAGCCTTAAGGACACCCAAGCTGAGGGCCTCAGGAAGAGGCCTCCAGAAGCAGCCTGACCGAGGTCCTTGCCGGAGGGGTCAGACGTGAAGCTACGCGGGATAACAGGAGCAGGGCGCTGCTGCTCCGTCAGCTGCAGAAACGCACTGCGGGGGGCAATATGAACTGTACACAGCAGTCTGCACAAAAGTGGCCGCTGTTCCCCAATAATACGGACAGTGATCTGCGAGGATGCGATTGTTCACCAGGCTACTTGACGTTACGTGCAGAACAAGGAGAAGCTTTCAGCGCCCCAAACAATGATGACCACAGTGAAACAGGCACACTTCGAGTTCCCTCGTTCTGCTTAACTATCTGCCAAAACTGATTTAAAAAGCACATTTGCTGAATTTGATTTAGATTCCTGCTTCACAAAAAGGGCACGTTCAGTTTCGAACCATTTGTGGGTCAGCGACGAGACGGTCAGGCCCGACTCACTGAGGTCGACTCCTCTGTTCCCGGGGGGCTGAGGTCGTCGGGTGATGTTGCTGAGGATGGGGCAGTGCGGGGGTTCCTGGGTGAGGGCAAGGTGTCCCAGGCATTGTAGCCACGTGGGGGCGGAGCAGGCATCTGCACCCCGGAGCGACGGCAACAGCTCTCTGCGCCGGACATCCAAGCTTCCAGCAGCTTCTCCCTGTCCCAGTCTGAGAGGGGGTACCCAAGTCATCATTTTACTCCCATCTCAGAAGGGAATATCTGGACATGTGGGGTTACAGAGCAGATGAAGGTTAGTGGGGAGGGGGGGATTCGTACCATGAGCCCGCAGTAAGGCCTCGGCGGGGAAGAGAGGAACTTGCAGCATGTCAGCTGTCTCCACAATGAGCACATCCTTTAAGCGGCGCAGGTCCTGTGGTCCCAGACCCTCATAGAGCTGCATGGAGGAGGAGGAGGAGGAGGAGGAGGGTAAGCCATTTGTGTTGCCATTACGCCTCCAAGGGGCGAACAGCGAGAGCAGCAGCATCATCTTAGAGACTCTGATCCCTAACCTTACAGGCTGGTCTACATAAACCTGCACTGTCACACGGATCTCTCGAACCAGCGTTAGGCACGGCGACGGCGAGCCCCACCTCCCCACGGTCCAGGTCCGCATATTCATCCTCAACACCCTCGGGGTCCCCAGAGAAAACCATGAGCGACTCGAGGCTGAGTGCCAGCCGGCGATGGCCCCGCGCCTCTGCAGCATCACAAGGGGTCTCCCTGTCCTCGTTTTCGGCAAAGAGGTCTGCACCGCTTTTCACCAGCAGCTGCAGGGGGGGGAAGACCCCTGGATTAGGTCTGGATACGGGGGGGGACTGCAAACAACTCACAGGTGGATGGGAGGACGGGTAATGGTCTATCAATCACCTCAGTTAACCAACCTCCCATCAGACTAAACCAGCAAGTAACTAGCAGTCAATCCAACTACGGATTCTGAAACCCAACTTCCCCCTAGTATGACCAGAAATAAATCTTTATGAATATGACATCATTAAAATGGCTGCTCAATGAGGCAGGTTGGTGGGGGAATTCCCCCAGCCGGGTCAGAGGCTCTAAATTAGGGGATGGGGTTTATGGGACAGGACCTTCAGGGGTTCAGGGATGACCCACCTCCACACATGCCCCCATCCCTGAGGCAGCCGCGTAGTGCAGACATGTGTTCCTCTTGTCGTCAGCGGCGTTGATGTCAGCGCGTTCATACTCGCCATGGTCCAGCCGGGCGCCGGTCCATTGCAGAACGACCCGGATGCAGTCCAGCCGCCGCCGCTCATCCTCTAGGGGTTGGGCAACGCGGGGCGACAGCACCCCCTCTGGAAGCAGGATGCGCGGCCCCATGCAGAGCAGGTGCAGGGCCACCTCGTCGCGCACGTTGCGCTTGTTGGGGTTGCCGTCTTTGTTCAAGAGAAAGCACCTGGAGATGGGGGGGGGGGGGGGTGGGTGCGCAGCACAGGAGTGAGGATGGCATGGACCAGGAGTGGTGGTCCTCAGAATCAGCGCCAACCACACGGTTGTCAACGGTGACAGGGAAACCATCATGCTTCCCCGGCTTTGACACGTTTGGACAGGACCCACACAATGTGTCGCTAGATGTTAATAAGGTCGAAAGGCTGACAGGCTCCTACGACCTTTCAGGAAAATCCAGTAACTAATCCCTAACCAAACCAACTGGGATTTCAGTTTGAACTTTATACCAGTGACTTCTGCAATGTCACACAATCACTGAATAAACCAAATTTTTAGTCAGTTTCCTGCAAGCATAAAATAACACTCAGAGTGCAAATGGTGAGTCCATGTCAAACAGGGCAGGTCACTATGGCAACACAGCATTTCAGCGACCCACTCCATTAAGACACATTGTTTTGATAAAAAAGCAATTGTTCTCTCACAAATAAGGGACAACATGAATTTGCCAGCTTTTTATAAATACGGGTTCTGTCTCTCTCTCTCCCTCTCATGGCGTGCAGTCTCTGCTCACGGTTTGGGGCGTTGGGTTCTGGGTTCATCAAAGTCCAATTGTCTACATCAACATGACAGGCAGGGCAGCCTAACGCACCACGTGGCAGGATGAACGGCTACACAGACCCATACTTCCTTTTAGCTAAGCATCCAATCATCGTTCAGGGCTTGATCCCCCCCCCCAACCCAACCAACAACACACGATCATGGTAGAGAGCATTTTAAATTTATGGTTTAGCACCACAGACGCTGTAATGGGGCTGGGAAATAAAACGATCTCAAAATGGGAAAATGGTAAGTTTTGACATTTTTACTCAGTATTCAGTATAGATAGATCACACAGCAGAAATAAATGTGAGAAATAAATAGCCTGTGGATGTGTCTCAATATGCATGCTTTGCTGTTCTCGTGTCATCGTGTATCCATTTGATGTCATCTTCCACTGTCGAAGTACCGTTTCAATACTGAAGATCAGGAGTACGGAGGACAGTAAAGATCCCCAGATGTCGTTCTTGGCCATCCCCAAATTTCAACGACGCATTGGTTGCATCCTCAACAGCAAGAACGACCCCATGATTCAGCTGCAACCCAGAATCGTTCTTGGGAGGCTAGGTAGCAAAACCGCTCTTGCCAAGAACACAAGTATGACAAGTAAGCCAAGGAACTGCAAAGAACAAAGTACACTGACAATTCCTACTGCACAGCATCGTTGAAGTCTCAAGGAATAAAGGAAGCTCTGGGGGAAAAATGTGAGTGGAACCGGCAAGGGTGAAAGCGACGTTGAAGGTAAACGTACATTATCCTCAAAATATCAGTTAGTTGTTAAAAAAAAAATGTAAGACTACATCAAGTATGTAACATACTTGACGCAGTATGTTACATACTTTACAACAAAAGACATAATGCCTCTGAGTACAGGGGAGAAACACGGGTTCAGAAAATTGATTAAAGCTTTAAAGATTTAAGCTGGGCTGCGGGTAGGAACTCGCTGGCAGAAAATACTTTTCTCAGTCTGCGGTACCTCACCTTTACGCAGAGTCCCGTGGAAAGCTGGAAATTCGGCTACGCGGTTAAGCCACTACCACGGACATACGGTCCAGCTGCATGCCGCAGACACATGCGAGCCTCACCGTTCATCCCATCGACGAGAAGCGGTATCTTCAAAGCAGATGTTTACAGATGCCGTACCAGCATGAGCCTCCAGGCAAAGCGGAAGCAGGCGGTTTGCATAGTTAAATGTTTGTGTTGTGTTATTCCAAACCACAGTGTTTACATTTCGTACTTTTTGCTGATTTCTTCTTGTAAAACAAAATTTCTACATCGTGTTTACATTATGGGGAAGCATATGATTAAGGGGGCTAAACCTCTGTGTCTGTGATGAGAAGGGAGCTGGTTTGAGCCCCGCTTTGGCAAAATAGCCATTTCTGTGGGCCTCTAATCCCCAGCTCCATGTGCACCTCTGCAGGCGGCTGCCCTTCCCTGCCAAGCTTGCTCTCACCTACATATGCATCTCTGTCATGGACAGCAAGATGGGGTAGGAGAGAGAATTTCCCCACAAGTTCTCAGTAAAGTGTTGTTATATTTTTGTTAATAATATTCTAAAATTTACTACTGAACACTCTGGTTTCTGCGGACAATATCGAGATACTCTTCAAACTGGCAGCATTCTCAAATTAAATATTGTGATAAATATCAATATTGATCAATATGGAAAAAACTATTGTGATCGTATTTTTTTGCCAAATTGCCCGGCCCTACACTGCACACTGCGAAGGCACATTTATAGACCACTGGCACATATTCTCCTCATTTGCATTTTGTCTTCATCTGTGTTTTGAATGCAAATTTCACTCAACTTGTACGTGCTTACCCATTCCTACACACGTGATTTATAATGGTGGCAGCATGCTGGACATGCTGTGTGGTCAAATACAGGATCACGGCACAGATTAATATTCAGCAATCTGCTAACGGCCACAATCAAGGCATTGTTCCCTGAGCACAATCAATTCTTTAACAGATTTTAAGAGCCATCATGGATTAAGTAATTATTATTATAAAAAAAACATTCAAACACCAAACACTTCCTATGTTTATAAACGGAGAAGATATTATCTTAATATTGTTATCGCTATTAACCTAAGATGATTAAATAATCTCAGACATGAATGAAGAATGCTTCCAAGCCCAGTAAAGGGTGTTCCACCCGAGCTGAACATTCACTCTACGGTTCAGCTCGAGAACAGCATACCAGTGCACAGATCCATCCTCCTCACACTAATAGGGCAACGGCAGCTTTCAGAACAAAAACTGTGGCAGCAAATCACTGCCGACACTGCGTTCTGACTAACGTCCATCTGTGGAAGTTGCAGTGAAGCTCAAACCGACGTGGCCGGCTGAAGCTGATCCCTGTGGTCATCTACAGACTCAACAGGCTTTTTAAATGAAATGGTCGGGGACCTCAGAGTCTATGGCCTCCGCGAGAGGTCTGTGATCGCACACTGGACCACTGCAGACCTCAGACACTCAATTAATGGTGAGTAACAGATCACCTGAGATCACCTGATTTCACCCTAAAAAACAGCAAAAGAAAACACAACCATCACACCAAAAACTGAGTGAGCGTGAGCCTGTCGCCAGAAGCGAATCAGAGTGACAAAATGACCCATAACCGGGGGCGACATGCTGGCCTGTCGGACCGGACCTGAGCAGCCGGACCATGGCGTGTCTGGAGGCGTAGTGCAGCGGTGTGTTGTGCTGGTACGGCTCCCCGTAGGAGGCGTTGGGGTCCAGGGACTCCCTGAACTGCGGGTTGCCCTCGTAGATCTGGGAGGCCAGGTCCTCGTCTCCGCTGATGAGAGCCTTGCGGAACTTGGCGCCCGTGTTCCCCATGGGTCAGCGTCAGGCGGGGCGATGAGGCCGCCCCCAAAGCACCGGGGCGTCTTCGGCGAGTCGGACGAGCCGCATCACGCCAGGATCCTCACCAGGAAGAGCTGGGAGCGGAGCAACAAGGCAAGAATGAACATCTGGAGGACAATTCCACATTCGGTTTCACTGGAAAAGTAAGTAGCCACAGAGTAATAAACATCCTACAGGAACCTGATACTGTTGAGGATACTCTGAGATTTACAGCCAGTCAATCACTGGATAAATAAATACACTAGATCACAGAGATTACAAGCTACACTTCAGAGTGACACACGGAACAGATCGGTTCCAAGTGCCAACACCAGAATCCGGCCAACTTCGGCATCCAGGAAAAAAGAAGGCCAGGTTCCTCCTGACTCCTGCTGGAATCACGGAAGGGCTGGTGAACCACTGGAATTCACCATGGCACCCCCCTCCTGCACATGGATCATACCGGGGTCGCCCGCGCCGGTTCTGATGCAGAGCCCGCTGCTGAGTCAGCGTATTCCAGCACGTTAAAACTGATCTGCCCTTAACGTTTGTTTGCCTGAGCAGCTCAGGGACGGGACCAACCGGTCGGGTGACAATCACAGAGGGGCGGGGCTAACAGAAGGAACCTCAGGCAGGCCACTGAAAGGAACGCATGCAGCAGTGGCTGGCCTGTACCAATATAACACGGGAATCAGGGAGGGCGGGTTACAGCAGGATCAATGGCGCATTCCAAAAAGCAGCCAAGCAGTTTCAGGCCGATTCCCCGAAGTGATTTAAGAGTATGAGGCAGTAATAACTCTACAGCATTAGACGTTAATCATGCCATCAGACAAGCAATGAACAAAAAGGAGCTTTAAAATGGAGCATTACATCTACAGCAAAGGTATAATCATTATTTTAAAAGCAAATATACACAGATATAATAATTACAGTCCACTATGGCGAGCTGATCAAACACAAAATCAGATTCTGTTTGTAAACAAAATTGGCATTTACATTAACAAATGGGACAGCGAGCAGTTTAGAATCACGGGATACTTTGCAAACTGTCTTTCAAAATGTGACAGTTCCAGCTGAATGTCACACAGAAACAGGGACAATGGCCAGCTTGGCTCTCTGGCCTCTTCCGTACAATCGGTGAGTTATCCCCTCACAATAACCCATCATAATCCAGTCTGCTGTTTACACCACAATGTTTCTTTGTCTTGCTCACATGCATGTGAGAAATCCCATTGAAATCTTGCTATCACAGCAGGCCAAAATACTAGTTAGTCCAGTTGCCCCTGAAATGTATGAAAATTAGGTCAAAAAAAAAGTTTGTCAGATGAGGCCTGATGATTGTGCTTCCGGAGCTTCTGCTGCCATAGACGTCCATCCCCTCACCACGACCTTCTAGAACGTGATGTTGCGCTCCTGAGGGTCTCAGAAAGCTGCACCTACAGGCGGCGAAGCTTCACAGCTGCCTACGTGCCTCATCATCCCAAACTCAACCCGGAAAGCCAAAGACGCGCTTGCCCCACCCCCCACCCCCCCATTTTCCAAGACGCCTTCTACCTTCTGCTGAAATCCAACCCCAGAGCCCTGAGATTTGGCTCCGTCAGACCAAAACCCAATTTGACTTTCCAGTAACGATGCTTAATTGGTGAGGGCTGCTGGGAAATTACAGCGAGGCCATAACCCATGGAAAGCTTACACCATAGTGACCCCGCGTTTTGGCCGGTCACCATAGCAACCCTGTGACCCACAGCGCTGCCAGAGGAATGCCGTAGGAGACAGTCCCTGATGTCCAGGTTAGAGAAAACGCACCCAACACATTTATGAGCCCTGTCAGGTGATGCTGGGACGTCTACTGACCAAATAGGAATGACAGTCATCAAACAGCAGTCATTAGCAGCAGAGGTAGGTCTTCCTCTTAGCCTCAAAATAAATGTTGTAAGCTTTAGCAATTTCACAATCACACTGGCTTCACCAGCTAATCCACTTCATACACTCCCGGATCCAAAGTGGACAGGGCAGCAGAATTTTTCTGATACTTGAAATGAGAAATGAGATTCTGAGCAGCATAAAGATCTCAGGTGCCACTGGGTGAAGCTGGCTGCTTCTCGCCCAGGTAACCATCTACCCCTGTGGGCTCCCAGACCGTAAATGCCCCAGCAGGGTGATTAGTCACGGCCGGAGTGCACAGTCACGGCCCACAGGCAGCACCCAGCACTGATTTCCTGATTTTGCCGGCTGAAATTTCCAGCAAGTGCTCTGAAAGATTACAATCAGGACAGAAATAGCTTACCGTGCTTTCAAACGTAGTTATGTGTATATAGGCCTATATATATATATATATATATATATAGGTATATATATATTGGTATATATATATATATATATTGGTATATATAGATTTGGGTCATTTTTACATAACAGGGACAAAAATAAATTAAAACAATTAAAATATATCCTTAATGGGTGAAGTTCATAAATACAGAAACAAGAGCGAAAGGGAACTAAAATTATGCTCGTTTTTTACTTTATAAAGGCTGGCGTTCAGCTTTTCTTTGGTTCTCACTTTAACAGCGAAACTTCCCATAAATACTTTCATTCGTGTTGAACCTGCAAACCTGCAAAAGACCTGCTTATAACATACAAGTAGATGGACGTAACCCCGCGTGGCACCGCAGTAACTGACCTCTGCCGAAAATGCAACAGCACAAATCGCCCCCCCGTTTGCTTTAGTTACGATGCAACACATTCAAGTCGGTGTCACGCAAAGTTTGGTCAACCATGCGAGGTGCGACTCCTGCACATGATCGCGTCGCCCCATGAAACTCCTCGGCTCTTTGTTAGGCGACCAGGTCTCTCGTAACTAGTAGCTATCAGCCGTAGTCCGGCAACACCTTACGTTACCACCATGGATAAAGAGGCAAGACATAAAATCAGCAATGCACGGCATGAGTGTAACTGCAAAATGACGCTAGGCGTGAGAGGGTCATCATGTCAACGGCTTCAGCATCACGCGATATAATAAGAAGAAGAAGAAGAATAAGAATAATAATATCAGCTGATATGTGAAGAAAAGCTTCAGTACAGACCATCCAGCTGCAGCGCCGGACACCGGAGACACACGACGCACACCCCCGGTGAGTGAAGGCAGCCAGAGCCAGCAGATACACTGGTTTAATCAGCCAAGGAGCCTTCTACTAAAACTGCAAAGATCTGCGTTGTAACGCTAAAGAAAATACACAGATTGCCGTGCAACTTACAAATGCACCCTTTTCCTCCGAGGCAGGGAGCTGGTTCCGATCCTCCGCCGCCGGCTCCCCTTCCCTTTGGCTCCGTCTCCTCTGTTTCTCTCTCGGTTCCCCAGCGGCCGCTACATCACCGGCTCCGACCCGGAAATACTCACGCTTCTCCATTCAGACGCTACGGACGCGGAGTTGCAACGTGATCATGGGCAGCAGGGATTTTATTTGGATGAAGAAGAATCAGTACGTTTTTAATTTAATTTGATAGCTTCAGTGTTTATTTGCTTATTAACTGCAATACTTGGGCCGATCTGTGAACCAGATTTTCTCTACCTCATTAGTATTCATCCATACATTCGTCCATCCATGCAGTGACGGTGGAAGCGCATCGAGGCAAGCTGACCCCCCGCCCCCCGTGCAAACTTCTATTCCCGTTTCGGTTTACTAAAACTGGCGCCCTGGGCGGCCGCCTATGTTCTGTAATTGATTGACTGGCACTGCATCCATCTATCTCAGTCTCCTGTGCTATTGCGAAGTTCATGGTAGCACATGGCACCATCGTACAGTACCCCGTGAATGGGATGCTTGTCCCGTATTATTATTGACCTTATAATGATAATTATGCTAACCTGGCTCGCGGCATGGGGTACTCTGGATGGCATGTCGCTCTTTGCACGGTTTTTGCGCTTGCTGAGTTTTTACCTTTTCATAATGTTATGCTTTTAACCATATTCCCCTATTTGCATAAAAATAATTCATGCTCCAACCTAATAATGGAAGATCACTGGAGATTTACATATTTATCCACAAATATTTAAGTTTTCTAAATAAAATAAATGTAAACTTTTGCGATTTTTTTTATACAAATGGGAGACATTTCTTACGTGTGTCTGGCCAACTTTTAATTTTATATTTGTACAATACTGTTGAAAAGTCTTAGGCAGTCTAAGAAAATGATGCTCAAATGATCTTCATATTGGTGTAAAAATGTAGGCTATTGTTCACTCGACCAGTACCCTACCCCGTATAGCTAATCAATGCCTCACTGACTTAAACTAGTTAAATAGATTAATTCATTGAAGTGGTAGTGAAATTTAACGAATACATGGAATGGCTAGGGTGCCCATGAGGAGAGGTTTGGGAACTGAAGCGGTGTTCACCTAGCCATCCAACAAGTTATCAGTACATTTTTGGAGAAATTCTCGTTAGATTTTGTTGTGTTACTCTTAATTTTCGTATGTTCTAATGTTAAATTGTGTTTTTTGTTTTGAGCATATATACATTTACTACTTAGATAAATAGCTTTAAACAGTTCCTTTGACTGCCTAAGACTTTTGCACATATTTGTCCATGAATTTCCTATACCCGCTGGTCCTATGCAGGGTTACGGGTGTCTGGAGCCTATCCCGGAAGATTATATTTATGTTATAATAAGACCTTTATGCTAGTTTTGCCCCAGAAATACGGTTTGTTATTTAAAGGTTTTCTTCAGCCATTAGATGGCGTCCTGCGCCTAACAACAGCAGCAAACCGCAGGCTTTGTTTGCGGCGCACGGGGCTCATTTCACGCTCCATGTACCAGTGTTACCCTCAATTTGCACAATAAATCTCACGTCATCTAATTTTATTAAATGAACCAAACGTTTCAGTTTGGCTGTGTGGCTTCCCACTATGCGGTACGGCTCCCAAATCGACAAGCTACACGAAGCGACATTGCACACAGAGTCTATCTTGAACTTCACAGTCGCGTCTCGTCGATATGCATATTGTTGGATTGCTGAAAATTATCTTCAATGATAATGATAACGCGGTAGTCTAGTGTCTTTCTGAAAATTTGAAACAGGCTGATTATTTGTGCGCAATTACAGCTTCAATGTCAGGAAATGCCTTGACCGAGTTGCACATTTTCCAGTTACCTATATTTATTCCAGATACACGAGGTATGCATCTACGAGTATTAAGTACCCAGCAGCTAGGGATTATTTTAATATAACTATTAATAATTTCAAGAGATCCTTGAGAATCACATTGCAGGTTTTTAGGCAACTAAAAAGTCACAAAAAAACACATGGTCCCATCATCACAAATACAACACTGTAAAGGGATATGGGTTTATTTTGATGAAAGTGAACTGTACAGCCTAGAAGACTGTACACTGCATAAACCGTTTGGATGGATGGATGAATGGATGGATATTTTTATATCCAGTGATAAACATTTTGCCCCCAGAATATCTACTTATTAAAGATTCTATTTATTTATTTGTTTGTTTGTTTATCGATCTATCTATCTGTTGAGCACTTTTAAACGACAGGAGCTGAACCCAAAGTGCTGTACAGGCGATAAACCATTAGAAACCACACAAGTGACAACACAATACAGCAATTTTCCACAGAGAATTAAAGCTGAAATATTTAGGATTATTTCTGTTAATCATTCATTTTTAAGGCCATTTCTCAAAGTGTGGGCTGCCATGATTTCAGAATTATAGAAAACTATCAGGTCCACATTTACAGGATCCCGCTGAACTGTAAACAGAGCAAACACACAAAGTATGTACCCTTACACCGACAGGCATGTTGTGTGTGTCGGTGTCTGCCTGTCTGTCTGTGTATGTCTGTCTGTCTGCATGCTCCCACAGCAATTGTGTGGGATTCCTCCAGGTTCCCAGATTCCCTCTCATAGTCCAAAGAGATGTTCTCCAGGTCAGCTTCCCTTAGGCTATAAGCTCCAGGATCACTATGACCCAGTTCTGGAAAATGAAATCCACAGAACCTGGGAGGAATGAAAGTTTAAATGCATTCTGCTCACTTCTCCTCTCCAGCCAAAGCCCCCTGTGCCTCATGTCTCACTTACATACTGTCCGTTACAGTGGGGGCTGCTGACCACATTTTTTTAGTGAAGCAAACTCTCGACTGACCCCCTCTACCCTATAGGTTTGATTTCAGACCTAACCATATATTACTCATTACTATAAATATAATAGTAAGTATTAAATATTCATTGTACTAAACATTTTCTATTGGTGGCTAATTTCAAACAAATGTAGCTCTGTTCAGCCTGTATCCTGAGCCTTCAATTTATTTATTTAATTTGGTGAGCTGATGCTGCCTCTTTTTAACAGGTGAACCTATTTCTGAAATACAACTGTTATAGATATACATCCATCCATTTTCTGAAACCACTTGTCCTGGTCAGGGTTGCGGGGGGTCGAGAGCCTATCCTGTAGGCCACCGACGCAAGGCAGGGAACAACCCAGGATGGGGCGCCGACCCATCACAGGGCGCACTCACAAACCATTCAGTCACGCATGCACTCCTATGGACAGTTTGTTAATTCCAATCAAGCCTCAGCATGTTTTTGGACTGTGGGGGAAAACTGGAGTACCCGGGGAAAACCCCACGATGACACGGGGTGAACATGCAAACTATAGAAATACAAGCAAAATGAATGGAGCGACTTCATAAAAATATGAGTAGACTACACAGATTTACATTACTGTTATGCTCTTCAAAATTCGCATGTGCAATACAAACACAGGAAAGGCAGAACAGAGCTGGAAAGTACATCACAAATTTTATGTCAATCATCTTCATGTCGAGAACATGCAAGAGCGTGCACCATTGGAAAGACAAGGTGAGACATTTTTTACTGGGTGGGTTTAAAAATGCGTAATATTCCATAACTGTCCAGTCAATTACTAAATCGAAGGTGATGACAAATACACTGAAGTCTTTGAGCTTAATGAGGCAGAAAATGATTTGCTCAAGGGTGGTGCTGTTTTGCAGTATACTTGTGATTGGAAGGTTGCTGGCCTCAATCCCTGACCAGCAAAGTACCACTAAGATACCCTGAGCAAGGTACCGCCCACAAGCACTGCTCCCTGGGTGCTGAATAATAGCTGCTCACTGCTATGTCACGTATGGGTTAAACACAGAGAACACATTTTGTTGTTGTGTGCTGTGGTGTGTTAACAATGACAATTAGCCACTTTTCACTTCACTTTCTTCTGGTTCCTTATTAGCAGGGATGGGAACAAGCCTTAGTCCCTCATGAAACAAAAATATATTTACATACATGTACGTTTCACGTTTTATCAGAAGTGTCTGCTCCAATAATATATTGAAAAATAATGCATAATGTACTGTTAATATATATTATAATATATTGTAAAATACATGTACAATATATTCTTGATTATATATTAAAATTTACCCCAAAAAAATTATTGACTGTTTCAAAATACAGTACAGCTGTGTCAAACTCTTTTCAAATTACAGTACCTCATAAATTAGATTGAACTGAACTGTGTGTAATTACATTAGCCTCAGTTAGCTAGCCAGAAGCAGACAGGTTGCCACAAGGCAAAGTAGGCAAGTAAAAAAAAAGAATTCACGTAATTAAAAAAATTTCCATATGTTATTATGCATAAGAAGACCCAAAATAAACACTGTAAGCGGACAACTTGATTACTATAAGCAAATTATTTAAATAGTATTTGTACAGAAATGATTCTGTCCCAAGCTTTTTGATCCATATATGCAAGGAACAGGTTGGGTATATTACAATTAACGGACACTAGAGACTAGTAAACAGTAACAAACAACAAGGACTATTAACACTAGAAGAGATTAAGGAACACAAGTGAAACAGAACTTAAACAAGACACGAGCAGGGTAACCATTAACAAGGACTCAAAAGCAAAGACATATTAAGAATACCAGACACCAAAGGATAAAATAAAATCAATATATTAAGCAAGGAACTCATGAAAGAATGAATGTCTGCCTCTAAGCCACACGCTGAGCCCATTGAGCCACGCAGTGGTCAGGGGAGCACTGAAAACACATAAGGGCAACCAAGGAGGATGGCTAGTGGGAACTGCTGGCCAAACGGGGAAAAAGCACACAGGGCAGGGCCAGATGGGCACCAACGCTGACACCTTATATCACCACAGACTAATAAGTAATCAATCAAGAAAATTCTTTAATTCTTGTCAGGGTCAGCACCTGTTGTCCCAGTCTCATGTCCCTTCCCTGTTTGGCCAGCAGGTGTCACTGGCTATCCTGTCCCTCCTGTCACCCCTTGTGCTTTCCCCTGCTCCCTGTTGGCCGCATTGCTCAACTCGTTGAGCATGCGGCTCCCTGTGAACCTCTCTGTGTCGTGTTCACATGCTGTCTCTTCTGTTTTTGTATTTTGTTCCTAGTGTTTCATTTATCAGTTTCTAGTTCCTATGAGTTTGTGGTTTGTTTTGGTTTTTGCTTTGTGCCTTGGTTTTGTCTGTCCAGTTCCTTGGTTTTCATTAGTGGTTTCTGTCATGATAAGCACGAGGCACAGACTGCAGAAGCAGAGGCAGGACTCAGGGAATCGGGAAAACAAAGGGTTTAATTCCGAGCTCAACAGAAGCAAGACCATGGAACAGGCAGAAAACACATAATAACAAAATGACGTTAATGACCGGACTGGGGAAAACATACCTAACGCAGAGTTAAATACATCAGACTAATTAAACACAACGAGAAACAGCCGGTAACACGGATCCCAAACAAGGTGATGAGGGGGCGTGGCACACAGGAGGATCGGACTAGCAGGTCATGACAATTTTATGTTGAAAAATGCAAAATTATTTTATATCTATGAGTAATGATTATAAAATACAGCCACTCAAAACCATGTTGTCAAACTAATTACTTATTTGGCCTTCAGCTGTTGACCTTTAAACATGAGCCAGAGGTCCAGAACAAGGAAAGAAAAGAAATAAAGATCCGAAAAGAACAGTCTGCTACCCTGTTTAACAGTCCATATTGTTTATTTACTTATTACAATAAGGTGCAGAACACATGAAGCGAACAAGAAATGAAGAGCCTGTTATCCTATTTAACTTGCCCCATCACAGGGCAAACTCACACATATACATCTACAGGGGATTTTTAGTATCTCCAATCAGCATGTCTTTGGACTGTGGGGGGAAACCCCATAGCAGCATGGGGAGAACATGCAAACTCCACACACATGTAACCCAGGTGAGGCCTCAAACCCGGGTCCCAAAGATGTGAGATAACAGTGCTAACCACTGCACCACCATGACCAACTTATTCTAGGTATGGCGTACAGGTAAGGTGATATTGATGTTTATGTGGACATTTTTATAGGTGACTAAAATGCGTTTAAAATGCAACTAGAGGCTGACATTTTTTTGTGAATCCAGCGGGATGGGACTCAAATTCAATGTTAATCACAGGACTAGGACGGGACGGGGGGAAAAAAATAATGGGGGCGGCGGGAGTCATATTAAAAAATGAAAAATTTCAATAAAACTATTTCATTATATTGCCATATATAATATTATATATATATATATATATATATATATAATAATATTTAGCAGAAGGGTATGGACTTGGCGAAGCAGAAAATGTTTGGCTTCACGGAAGATTCTTTTGCCAATCCAACGTAGGTTACTGTCCGTGACACCCAAGCATGCTGCTGTTTTGCACAATACTTAGTTAGACATATATAATACACCAAATAAAACAGTGTCCTTCCCAGTGTAATTTCCTCCCAGCGTCAAGTGATGCATGATTCCGCAGCCCTGCTGAAATACAGTCTTTCATTTTTAGAAACATAACTGAGGAGAAAAGACAGGAAGACAATATTTTACTAATTTAAAAATCATTTTGAATTTATTGGTTTTAAATGTGGGGAATTTGTGATTTGACTATTCGTACATAATACAAGAATAAAACGTAAATTCTGAGATAAACACAATATACAATTACCGAAAGTGCTGTTAAAAACATTTCACTTGTTCTTGTAGCCTACTTGTTTGTATAAGCAGAATATTTTTTTTCTCCAATCAATGTTGCAACACAAATGTAAATTCAAAACAAAACTGTTTCTCACAACATTATGACGCAAAATCGAGGTCTTGTGTTCTAAACGCATCGTCTTTATATTGACGCACAAGTCCTTTGTTGGTCATTTCAGTGAAAAGAAGCCAGAGAAATGGAGCAAGAAATTATATCCCAGACGTTAAAAATGTTCAATAAGCTACGGCTTGCCGGACAGCTCTGTGATGAGGTCCATGTGGCCAACGATGTTAAATTAGATGCCCACAGAATAATTCTGTTTGGCTGTAGCCCCTTTTTCCAGTAAGTAGCTATGACCCATATGTGCTAATGATGCCCAAACAACAAAAAGTCAGATTTTTTTCTCTTTAGTAATGACCTCTCCCTGACAATAAGTCTCTATGATAACACAAAGTGTCTTAAATGCATTACTGTGTTATATTAGTGTTGTCACGATCCGCTCCGTTCGATCCCGATGTGTGCCACGCCCACCTCGTTACCTCGTGTTCAGCCCTGATTGTGATCACCTGTGTCCTGTTATGTCTAGCTTGTCTTTTGTATTTAGTCCTCGTCTGAGTCAGTCTTCCCCAGATCCGTCATTGTATTATTACCGTGTTTATGCCTGTCCGTCATCCAGTCATTAATAAACCCCTTCTGTCCGTGTATACGGCTCCATTCGCCTGCTTGCCGGTTCGCCGGTGCCCAATCGTAACAGAATGACGGATCTCCACAGCACACCTCAGCAGATCGCGGACCAACGCCTCGATCTGCTAAATGAGGTCATTTACTGGCTGTCCCAACCAGAGATCCAGGAGGATCCTGTGGCACGGGACTTAGCCAGCCGGAGCGGGACCCTCCTGGAGGAGATCACCCCGCTCACGGAAGCGCACGTCTTCACAGACGTACGCGAAAATCTCCGGCAGGTGTACAAGAGGATAACGGAGAGGCGGCTCCAGCCGCTCACCCTCTCCGCGACAGCCTCAACTCGACCCACCAAGCCAAGCTGGAGGAGGCGCAAGGGGAGAAAGCAGGCAGAAACGGCGATCTTTCTGAGGGCTTGCTCTCTCTCCGCTGCCGTCACCCCGGGTGTCATCACTGCTTCCAGTTTGCCGGTACCCCTCGCCAGCCCCGCCGAGGAGATGCCGCCACCCTTGGCGGCTTATGACTTTCGGGCAGCAGGCCTGTTTAATAGGGGGGCCAGGGCCGTTTGGGACGCCATTCCCCGGGTCCCAAAGTTCCCGAACCGGGCAGTGCCCCCAGTGGTTCCCGTGCCTGTAGCTCCACTCCCAGTGGTGCCCCCTGCTGGCCCGGAGGCGCCTGTGTCTCCTGCGGCACCCCCAGAGGCGCCTGTGTCTCCTGCGGCACCCCCAGAGGCGCCTGTGTCTCCTGCGGCACCCCCAGAGGCGCCTGTGTCCCCTGCTGCAGCTGCCATCACCGCCACGCCCGAGGCCATTCCTGCGCCGCCTGGCGTGACTCCAGCACTCCCCATGACTCCAGCGCTCCCCGTGACTCCAGCGCTCGAGCTCTCAGTTCAACCCCCTGTGGCGCCCCCTGCTAGCCACGTGTCGGCAACACCCGTGGTTCCCGAGGCTGCCGCGCCCCCCGTGGTTCCTGTGCCTCCTGCGGCTCTGCGCCCCGTGACTCCCTGCTGGCCGCGCGCCCGAGAACGCCGCTCTGCCCGCGGCCCTGCCCGCGGCCCAGCCCGAGAACGCCGCCCTGCCCGCGGCCCTGCCCGCGGCCCTGCCCGCGGCCCTGCCCGCGGCCCAGCCCGAGAACGCCGCCCTGCCCGCGGCCCTGCCCGCGGCCCAGCCCGAGAACGCCGCTCTGCCCGCAGCCCTGCCCGAGGCCGCCGCTCTGCCTGTCCAGCCCAGCTCGCCCGCGGCCTCACAAGCTACCTCCCCTGAGGCCCTGACTCCTTCGCTCCCCGCTCAGCTCCCAGCGACCCCTGCAGTGTCCCCCGCGGCTCCTGCGGCCCCTGCAGTGCCCCCCATGACTCCAGTGTTCGAGCTCCTAGCTCCGTCCTTTGCTGCTGCTGCTGCTGCACTGCCCGAGGTCCTGGCGTCCCCTGTGCTCCCTATGCCTCCTGAGCTCACCACTCAGGCCCCCGTGACTCCTGTGGCTCCTGCAGCGTTCCGCGAGGCCCCTCATTCTGTTACGATCGGGCACCGGCGAACTGGCAAGCAGGCGAATGGAGCCGTATACACGGACAGAAGGGGTTTATTAAGGACTGGATGACGGACAGGCATAAACACGGTAACAATACAATGACGGATCTGGGGAAGACTGACTCAGACGAGGACTAAATACAAAAGACAAGCTAGACATAACAGGACTCAGGTGATCACAATCAGGGCTGAACACGAGGTAACGAGGTGGGCGTGGCACACATCGGGATCGAACGGAGCGGATCGTGACAAGTGTAGTATAGCGTTCATAAGAAATTTTTGTGTGCAGCATTTATTAAGTGAATCACCTTAACTTTTACCATATAATAAAAATATAAAAAGTGGACCATGTTGGTCCAAGTGATAAATATTTGAGGATAAAAATGAAAATAAAAATGAAAGCCCCCGGTCCCTTGTTAAGTACCTATGTGATCATCTGTGGCAGGAGGTCCGGTCGATTTTCATTTGGGGGTCACTGGTTAAAAAAGAGTTAGAAAGCACGTAATTTAACTCTGTCTGCAAAACCCATATTTATTAAACGAGTCACATCTGGATTGCTTTTCAGGGCGATGTTCACTGGCGCCTGGAATGTTCTGGGAAAGCGCGAGTATAAATTCCCAGGCATTTCCCCAGAAACGATGAAGCACATCATCGAGTACGCCTACACGTACTCTGTGCTCATCACGGTAGACAATGTGGAGAGTCTCCTGGTGGCCGCTGAGGAGTTGAATATCCTGGGCATCGTGCAGTGCTGCAGTGACTTCCTGCTTAACCAGCTCTGTCTCGAGAATTGCGTTGGCCTTCTCAAAATCGCCGATATCTACTGTCTCAACCAGCCGCACCAGTATGCCTTCAGCTCAATCCTGAAGAACTTCAAGGAGGTGGTCAGCACCTCAGAGGAGTTCCTGGAGCTCACCCTGCAACAGCTCTGTGACATAATTGTAAAGGAGGAGCTGAACGTTAGACAGGAGGATGTGGTCTTTGACGCCGTCCTCCACTGGATCCAGCACAAGCCGGCCAGCTGCAAGGCCCACCTTTTAGTGCTGTTGCCCAAGGGGACTTTAATTATACATTGTTCTCACTGACATGTGGACTTAACAATAAACCACTAATTCCGTGAAGTCCTTATTACTGTAGCTAGAGACTAAGTCCTATAAATCTACAACCTAGGCTTTCGAGTATTGCACCCGGCAGCAGAGTCTAACGAACAAATTAATGGAAAACCTAACACTCTCAAATAAATGTCTTAAATTAAACAAGTATTAAATGACATAGCTGAGATTTTCAAAGAAAATGGCTTCAGCTAAAATATTATGAAAACGAGAAAAAGAGCAAATGATAAAAAGTGGTGGTTTAATGGTTAGGGGAAGTGCGCTTGTAATTGAAAGATTGCAGGTTTGAATCCCTAACCAGCGAGGCACCACTGAGGTACCCTGAGCAAGGTACCACCCCCAAGCACTGCTCCCCGGGTGATGAATTAGCACATATGGGTCAAATGTGGAGAACACTTGTTGTGTAGTGTGTCAACAATGACAATTAATAACTAAAAATTTGGCCTTGCTGTTATATCCTTTATGTGAAGAGTTACTCCTTTCCAGTGATACACAAGAAGCACTAAAGAGTTCATGGGAATTCTCTTGTTCTGATTTTCTGTGTAGGTGCAGATGGCTCGCATGAATCCAGAATACTTTATTAAGACTGTCAAAAACAATGATCTGCTGAAGGCTGATGTGGCGTGCAGTACCATTGTCAGTGACGTCTTGAAGGCCATGTATGAACTCCACTTTAAAAGTCCATGTTCTGACTTTCAAAACCCAGTGATGTGCCCACACCTGCCTTCTGAGATCTTGCTGGCCATTGGTGTCTGGAGACACCATCCAACCAACTGGGTTGAAGCCTACGACAGCCGGGGCGACCGCTGGGTGGATACCACGCAAGAGAAGATGCCCCCCTTGTCCTTCCACGGCACCGTGTACCTCAAAGGATATGTTTACTGCATCGGGGGGCATGACGGCCCGTCCTGCATCAATACCGTGCGCAGGTTCGACCCCATCACACGGACGTGGAAGCGGGTGGCCCCAATGAACCCGCGCCACTGTTACGTTAGCATGGCTGTGCTTGATGGCTTCATTTATGCCATGGGCGGCTTAGACGGCTCCAGACGCCTCAACACAGCTGAGCAGTATAACCCAGACACTGACGAATGGACCGTAATCCCTGTAATAAGGCTGGTTCAAACTTCTCTTCACAAGCGCAACACTCGTGTATCTACTTTGTGGATGCGTACACAGAAACATTCATAGTTCTATAATCAAGCCGTGTACTGTGCATTTGCACAATGTATTGTATTTATATTTTTAATAATAATAATAATATAAATTATAATTTTGATATTCCCTGCACATGTTCCAAAGCAGTGAGGTTTGTGTCTGTTTCTCTGTGTTTTGCAAATTCAGAGAGTCAGCTCACGGTTGCCAATTTTGGTTGGCTAGCTGGCGTAAGATTTTCAATTTGAGTCTGCACTAACATACAAACGCATTTACATGTATGTAACAGTTTTCTTACCTTGTAAATAGTCTGTAGGGTTTGCAAACTACCCCACCGCTCGTCAAAAGCATCCATGTTGGTATTTAAACTGAACACTAGTGAATTGATCATGCACAGTGTGTCCGTACACCGCTGTTCGGATAGAGATTTGGAATGCAGCAGGCATTCTTCCACGGAGGTGTACAATGATGTCAAACGCGTCATAAATGTTCAAGTGGACACATCCGCTAATACGCGTGCGGAGAAGTATGAACCAGCCGTTACACTATCCATAGCACGTACTTTCATGTTTGTGTCACAATTAATTTTTTGTGCCTTTTGGGGTAGACTCCAGGTTCACCAAGACCCGGTACTGAATAAACTTTTATGGTAGATGGATGGATTGAACATGCATTAGCAAAATCTGCATTTAACCTTTCTAGATCTCCACCCCCAATCATATACAGCATAACAGTCATCACATTTTATCTGGTTTTCCTAGATATACATCTGTGGGGGCTATAACGGAACTGAGAGCCTTTCTTCTGCCGAGTGCTATAACCCCCTCACTGACCAATGGACCGCAATCGCTCCAATGAGCACTGTCCGACATGGAGTTCGGGTCGTGGCTTATAAGGAGAAAATCTATGCGGTGAGTGACTCCTTTTTGTGTCCAGTCTCACGTTTTATTTATGAGACTCACGGTTTTTTGCCTTTGCTGCTGTGTCATGAATTGTGATGCGGTTAAACCAAACAAAAGAGTTCACTATCAGAAATAACCTGCTGTGAAGGTTTATCAGAATACACATAAAAATCATGTCGCCCTCTTTAGCCTCCCTGCATTCATTTCTGGGTTGTAAATGAATATGCTGGGGGGGGGGAGGTCTCAGCTGCAAGCTCAGGTGGTAAAGCTTAGATTTCTGGTTATATTCTGTAGATGTCGACATAACTGGTCAGATTGTTGTTTTTTTCAGTGTATGTGTAACTGCAAGCAACTGCAACCTGTAATTTTACATATACACTGGGGAACCTGTAATTTTGTAATAATAATAAAAGTAAAAGATAGCAGCACATGGAGTCTGTTTTGATGGCTCACAGTTTTCACCAAACCGTACAAGTTTTTCAACTAAAATCTCTGAAGGAAAGTGTTCATGACTTCGCTCATGCCTTCTGTATCCGAGGGAACACTTACCTTTGGGGTCTCCCAGGTTGGTGGTACCAATGAGTCTCGGCTCCTGCGGAGCATGGAGGCCTATGATCCTCTGACCAGTCGCTGGCATGCTGTGGCCCCCATGTTCATGCCACGTGGCAACTTTGGCATCGAGGTGGTAGATGGCCTGCTATTCGTGATGGGCAGAACCAACGGGTTCAGAGTCTCTAACAAGGTGGAGTGCTATGATGCAGAGACAGGCAGCTGGTACCGCGCCCAGAACATGTGCACAGCCAACAGATACTTTAGCTGCTGTGTAATGCCCACACGTCCTGGCATCATATAATATGCTGGACCTCGTTAGTCTCTGATGGCCAACAGGAGGAGACGAACCCATCTGCCCCCAACAGCCTGCCCAGTGGGGAACCTCAAGTGCCCCCCCACCCCGAATTCTTTCCCTAAAATGTACAGTACTCACAGAATACAGGGACACTTGCTTAATTTCGTAAAAATGTTACAAATTCAATGGTTTCATAACAACAGTCCATTGTCGAGTGTTTAACGTATCTGCACATATCTTCCGCACAGACATTTTTATTAAGTGTCACAATTTTGTGACTTACTCATTAAGCTGCCGTTTTGGTATTAATTGCAGTTGGCAGTGGCTCCCAAAGGGATACTTAACACAAATGTTTGGTGCTTTATGTTACTGCAAAGGTGCTACTAATTAAAAAGCACCCAAATGAGACTGCTTTCAATAAACTTTTTAAAAGTCAGAAAAGCTCTTTTAAAATTATGATTTTGGTTTCAATTTATTACTACTTGAAATGAATATTTTGAATGAATGTTTTTTTGTTATAAAACCAATAAATTTGCAGTATTTTTACTGAATTAAGCAAGTGTCCCCAGACTTTCTGTGAGTACTTTAAATAAAGCAATAACTATCCTGCATCTCTGTTCATTTACCTGTTGACAAATTTTATTTTATTTTATTTGAGATTTTGATGGTGTTGCCTAATCCAGTGCAGCATCAAGGTGAAGCTAAAGCCTTTTTTGGAAGCACAGGACAGGGGACAGAGTGAGTGGGATACCAGTCCATTACAGGACATACACTCACAAACATGCAGAGCTGGGTATGGAATTCGAACCCCTAACCCTGGAGGTGAATCTACAATTTCACCCACTGAGCCACTATATACAGAATATACATCATGTTTAGTGTGTTATATAGTGTTATTTGTCTGTAAACAGTCTGCAAAATCTTAAGGCCAAAAGGAGTAACTCTCACCACAGAAACCACTCTTCTAATCTGCCTGAAACACCTTGTTGGAATTCCAGTCCTTACTTCTGTGACATGGTGAGGTCACCTCATAACACAGTCCTTATTGGCCAACTACCTACAAGGATCTCTGCAGATTGCAAGATGGGGGGAATGTGTAGCGCAAGCTGAGCAATCAGAGCACACTGGGCTCATCGGGGGTGGCATTTAATGCTCCAACAGAGTGTTTCAGACAGAGCTATAGACAGTGATTAGAGATGTACATTATGAGAAATAATGTTTTTTGAACACCGAAGCATGTAAATTTGTTCTAGTAGACCCCCAAAATAATATTATGAACAGTGAAAATGAGCATAATAGGACCCCCTTAATGAAAATTTTAAGTCCTCAGCCTAACCTGCTGGGGGCTAGAAAGTGGCTTTAATATTATGTATATGTATATTATCTAAATATTATGTAATCTTAATTAATCGTGAACTAACTCTTGCCTAATGTTTATTTAGCCACAAACTATATTTGTTCATGATATGTTCTTGAGTAGTAATTTAGTTACTACTAAGTTACTAAGGAACCATATTGTAACCATAGCGTTACAGCCCTTGGCACCAGCTGTTAGTTGTCACCTAGCATGCAGTGCTAAGCTTCCCAGTGATCTCCAGGGTACAGAAAGTTAGAAGCTGAACTGTGTGGACAGACCAGCTGGGTAAAACTTTATAGTACATCTCCTCCTTAACTGTACATGTTAGCACTGGCTGTTTTGGATTGGTCTTGGTTGGGGGTCCTATATGATATGTTTTATTTGTCTTGACACCTTTCTCTTATGTTTTGTGGTTTTCCTCTATAGCCTCTTAAATGAGTGACACCCCAGTTTGTTAACATATAACAGTGACGGGATTTTTTGGAAGCTACGTGTTTGGGTTTCGGCAGTAGTCTCCAGCCTTCCACCAAGCTGGCGCTCATGTAATATTTAGACAAGTTCGCCGGCGAACTCCAAAATTTGCTGCATGGCACTTTTAGGTCCAAGTCGTTCATCACTATACCAACCGCTGCTGTATCTTATCTCATGTAACACCAGAACCATCCTGATTTTTACCCAAAATCAGGCAGGAGATGAAGCAACAAAGCTACTCCCAGATAGGCAAAAGTAGCTACCATAGGAAGAGGGTTAGTTTGTGTCAGCGGGATTTTTCTGCTTTGCTTTGACATTCTTCCATGGCCCACTGATTTAAAGGGCCAGCCACCATTGTTTTTGTTTGACTTATTTTCTACAAACACCATAAAGTTCCTGAGCAGCTTTTCCTGTCTTATTCTCCCCAGAAATGGATACATCTCCCCCCTGCTGCATATCCATCTTGATCTGGAATGCAGTGCGATTCCTTGGGATTCCGTAACTGGTTCATACCACCAGGGGAGTACATCCGCTGCAGATTCCCCAGAAGAGCACACTCAACATCATCCCTAAATATCTGATGAATAAGTGGTAGCTACAAAGAGAGCCTCTTGGCTGAAATGGAACAAGGGAAAATATTTTGCTCCAACAGAAAAATGAGGAATGACGTTTTAAAGGGCCACACCATCACAAATGCAAAAGCTCAGCCTTGCATTTACTTTTTGTTTTATTTATCAGACTCTTGTATACAAAGGGATGTACTATTATTCTCTTTTATTTTGAGAAAACAGGGTTAGACTGATTGGGGTTAAAGGCCTTGCTCTGGGGCCCAACAGACAAACCACTCAGCCAGCCAAGGGACTTTAACCAGTGATTGCAGGCACAGCAAGCTAACCCAGTGAGCCAGAGACCCAAGGCTAAGGGGTAGACAGAGTCACTATTTATTCCTGGGGGAACGAACAAGGTCTGAATTCTCAACTTGACCAGCCAATCAGCTGACAGAAACGGGCATCTAAGTGCTTTCAGGTTCCTGATGCGGTTTGCCGAGCCGCTCGGTCCGTCACCCCCGCTTCAGCTGCGAAGAAGTCAAAGGCTACTGAATCTTACTTCTTTTTCTGCAGAAACCTAAGGGCACACCTAGCGCTCTACTGCCTCCCCGTGAAGAAAAGAGTTAATCTCCTGTTAGTTTTTGGAAAAGTGGAATTTTCATTAGTGCCCTGCCCTGGTTGTCATCTACAAAGCAAATGCCAGTGTCCTGAAAACTTACTTCTCGAAATTCACACAGTAGAGCCAAACATCAGTACTGGGAATACAGTGGCTCAGTGGGCAGCACTGCGGCTTCACAGCTTCAAGGTTGTGGGAAATGAGACGGATTTACAACTCTGAGAGTGTAGGTGTGTGTGTCTGTGACAGTCCCACTGTACAATATGAATTCAAAGTGATGTTAAACATTTCTTCTACGTATTCTGTCCCTCTCCATTATTATAGTAAAAAAAATCCCATTCTCCAATTCCCAGCTGCTCTAGACACAAAGAAATTCAAATAAATACTAAGATTTGAAAATAGTTCAGTTTTAAGGGAACATTTTATGGCTCTCAGCCTCATGTGAATGAATAGGGAAAAGCTCCATGAATTCAAGCATGGCACTGTCACAGGATGCCAACTTCGCAATAAGTCCGTTTGTGAAATTTCTTCCCTGATAGATATTCCACGGTGAATTGTACGTGGTACTATTGTGAAGTGGAAGCGTTTAGTGGCAGACCGCACAAAGCAACAGAGCGGGGTCGCTGAGGTGCATGGAGCGTAAAAGTCACCAAAGCTCTGCTGATTCAGTAACTGCAGAGTTCCTAACTACCTCTGGCATTAACTCCAGCACAAAAATTGTGCACCAGAAGCTTCATGGAATGGGCTTCCATGGCCGAGCAGCTGCATGTAGACATCACATCACCAAGCACCAAGGGTCAGATGGAGTGGTGTAAAGCACACTGCCACTGGACTCCGCAGCAGTTCAAAAGTATTCTGTGAGGTGACGATTTGTGCTTCTCTGTCTGGCAGTCTGATGGATGAGTCTGGGTTTGGCAGATGCCAGGAGAACGTTACCTGCTTGACTGTATTGTGCCAACTGTAACGTTTGGTGGAGGAGGGATAATGGTATGGGGTTGTTTTTCAGGGGTTGGGCTAGGATCCTTAGTTCCGGGGAAGGGAACTCTTAATGCTTCAGCATGCTAAGACATTTTGGACAATTCTATGCTTCCAAATTTGTGGGAACAGTTTGGGGAAGGTAACTTTCTGTTCCAGCATGACTGTGCCTCAGTGCAAAAAGCCAGGTCCATAAAAATGGTTGGGTGAGTTTGATGTGGAAGAACTTCACTGGCCCGTACAGAACCTTGACCTCAACCCCCTTGAACATCTTTGGGATGAACTACAATGGAGATTTTGAGCCAGACCTTCACATCCAACATCCATGCTTGACCTCACAAATGCTCTTCTGGATGAATGGGCAAAACTTCCCACAGACACACCAAACTCCATAATCTTGTGGAAAGCCTTTTCAGAAGAGTGGCAGCTGTTATAGCTGCAAAGGGGGACCAACTGCATATGATGTCATACAACTTCCTGTAGGTGTAACGGCCAGGTGTCCCAATACTTTTGTCCATATAGTGCATGTAGGGATTCCGACTGGGAGAGACCTACTCATGAATGATTTAACACTTCAGTCCGACATGCTGCGGATCCTGATTTCACTTTTGTTCCCAAAACTCTGTAAACAGAACTGTCATATTTCGAATCCCCTTTTTAAAAAGCCAGTTAAATAGGTTTCCCAATGTCATGGCACAAAATAATGCAGCTATGTTCAGCAGAGGTTAATGAGATGGTTTTGTCAAGTCAAAGGAGAAACTGTGTAGGCTAATGTCAGAACCGTACTTTACACAGGATGCACGTATAGCATTCTGCTAAAGAAAAGGTTTAAGACAACACAACCTATTGCAAATGAAAAAAAGGTTTTTGCAACACAGGTTAATTGGACCTTCTGCTGATCTGTCATTAATAGACTTCTTTATAATGAGTACCTTTATCAGCAGTGGTGATTTGACAGATACATTAATTCCAGATGTATATCGGGGTTCCTGTCATAAAGAGGAAGACAGCCTATGTTGTGATATTTCTCAGCTAATTT